CTCCAGTTTGCAGTTGTGAGCCTCTGCCTTTTCCCAAGGCTCCAGAGCCTGTGATACCTATGATCACCATGACTGCTCTGGTGGGGAATTCTGCCTGTAAAATGGGATGAAAAATGAGCTGGTAGGAACCCCAACTTCTAACTATCTCATGTTGCACTTCACTGATTTGTAAAGCTCCTAATACCTGCTGAGAAATGCCGTGAAATGCTGACCTAGTATGATCTCTGTCTGTCAGTTCACATTTGTCCAAACCCTTGGTAGGTGTTTTGCCAGATCTGGGATCATCCATCCCCTGCAGCTGGCAGAAGGGTGACACAGAAATCCCAGCAGAGGCCAGCCTGTGTGCCCCAAATAATTCACCACAAAGGCAGAGGGTGAGCCCATGCACAACTCACACCAAGTCAGGACAAATGTTTGATAAGGGGTCACAGCACCCTGCTATGCCAGCCTGGAAACACAGCAGGGTGCAGAGAAAGCTTCCTCTCCCAGCTGTGCCTTGGAACTCCTGCCCTTTGCCATCTTGCTATGAGGCAACAAAGGTCCTGTGTAGAGGGATGAAGGAGAGTGCTCAATAGGACAATTACAGACTATACTTGGAAAGCATCTTCCTAAGCAGGGTCAACCAACCTGCTCATCCTCAGGCACTGAGAAGAAAAAGCATCTTATGTAGCTTATATTGTAAAGAAACTGCTGAATGGAGCATGGAGGACAAAGCCAAAATACGCATGGATTGTATTCCAAAGCAGCAAAACAAATTCTCCCTTTGTAGGGTCTAGGGAAGTCTTGAGCATAGTCAACTTTTGAAAATCATTTAAATAGTTATCATGACTATTCTGACCTTCTGTCTGTTAATTTGGCTCCCCTGATGCCTGAGTAGCTCTCCTGAAGCCAGTTTACTGTCTATTGTCTGTGCCTGATGAGAGCTGTTATTTCTGATTAGATGCTTTTCCTTTGTATTCCAGATCTCTACCCTTCATTTCTCTCCCTCAGCATATTTTTTCCTCAGCACTAGTGGTGTCTGACTTGAGTACTACCCCTAGCATGCCTTGGTGAGTAAGAACAAAAGCAAGAATGTGCCACACCTGAGCCTAAGGCTTCAACCAAGGGACCATAACCTCACATCTGGAAGTGCCTTCATGTTGTCCCTTGGAAGTTCTGTGGGATTTAGTATTTCTAAGCTAAATTTCCATTATTTTTTTATTCATAAAACATCCCACTACAAAAACAAGCCAGACATGCCAGGCTCTAGCTCTCTGTGAATTTATCTTATAGCATCACAACTTCCTGCAAAGAGGGTGTTAAAGAACAGGTTTGACTGCTGCAGCAGAGGGTCCCCTGTGCTTCACACTGACTGGTCGATTTTTATATGATTTTTCTTGCCCGAGGCAGAGTCCTTTTTCTTCCTTTTTGGACTGCACATATTCACGTGGAGTTCTCTTCTCTGTGGCAAGTTGAACAAAACATGTCTGGAGAGTGATGAACACCCATGATTGTGTTCCTGGAATTTGGTATGGAGATGTATCTCCCTCATGGCTCTGGCTATATAAATTTTGGATATTTATTGTGTATTCATCATCCGGGTGTTCCTTGGACCACCTGGATGGATGATCCATCTCCAGGCTGGCCACTTTCATTTGCTTGTAAATGAAGTCCTCCCTCTCTTGTCCAGGTGGTTTCAACATTGTGTTACAATGCCTGTTGCTGGCTTGTGCGTTTTAAAATCTTCTTATAAGAGTATATCTTAACAGCACATAACTATAAAATATATGACAATTTTATTTGCACGAATTATCATATAAACATATAGCATGGATATCCGTAATACTTTGCTTTTTATTGTCTTGTAATTGTCCTGATTCTAAATTTTATTATTCTTAATTGTATTACTATTTTTATAACCATTTTATTATTATTAAACTTTTAAAATTTTAAAAACCAAGTGATTGGCGTTTTTCACAAAAACAAAATGGGATTCTCAGCTGTGAAAAATCACAATCACGTGCCATTCAGCAGCCCAGCCATAACCCTCCATCACCAAGGGTGTTGTGATACAGGATCACGGTTTTTTGGCTCACAAAATCACCTTGCTCACCACAGCCCCACATGCACGTGGTCCCCAGGGCACTTCATGCTTCCAATCCCTTGCAACTGCTGAAGTGTTTGACACCATGCTCAGCAGGTAGTCGCTGTCACCACAAGGCAAGACAAGTTGTTTTGCCCTCAGGGAGTGGGAACTCTTCCTCTCTACATAGCTGTCATGGTTTACAAGTCAGGTGTCTGCTAGGGAAGGCAGAAAGCCTCCCTTGGAATGGAGAATGGAAACTTACTCCCTTGAATTATTATCATTTTGAAATAAGGGGCTCTCAGGCAAATATATGGCAATAGGACGCCTGGATGATGAATACTTGATAAATATCTAAGATTGAGATAGCCAGAGCCATCAGAGAGATACACCTCAATGCCAGGTTCCAGGAACTCGATCATGGATGAAACATCACTCCCTGGACATGGCTTTGTTCAGTTCATCGAAGAGAAAGGACTCCACATGAATATGTGAAACTCTGAAAGGAAGAAAAGGGATTTGGCCCCAGGCAAAATAAACGGTATAAAAACTGCTTGAGTGGAATGGTGGGTGTGAAACACAGAAGGACCCTATGCTGTAGTGGTCAGACCTGTGTCTCACCCAGCACTGATCTCAGGCTCTGTATTGTCCTTTTCTTTGTGGCTGGCTCAGATTGAATTTAATCACTAAGTAAAAACTATTTTTAATTTTTAATTTGGCTGGATCAATCCTTACTTATAACAAAGGGACTATGGGCAATTTACAGACACTTACTAATCTTAAAAGTATTTTATCCGTGCTATGCATCTTATGTTCTAGAATTCTATACACAGACTGTAAAAATATACATAAAGCCTTGTACAAATTTACTGTTCTGTCTATAGATTCATGGCTGAATATAAAGCATTCTAGCAGAAAAGCTTGGGGGCAGGGCACACAAAATCTGATGAGCGGGAGTTCTGTTCAATTTAATAGAAACATTTCTACCTTTATTTCAGATAATCAGATTATAGTGGGATTTCAAAATTAATTTCCCTTTCTTTGGCAGTTTTATTTTGTGGTTTGGGAATAATCATACAAAATGAACACTACAAATGAAAATTCTGGATTTATTGAGGTCACTAGGGCAACTCCTACTGATTTCAAGTGGGCCAGGGCCTCATTTTATGAGGAAGTCTCGGGGAGAAAATAAATTCAGTCTTCTAGAAACAGAGCAACATGCCAAAAAGCCTTCTCTTAATTTTATTTTGAACATGGTCGCACTGCCATCTGAGAAAACAGCTCCTTTCATTGCCTTCAGGAAATCAGCAGGTTGTCCTGCTGCCAGTGATTTCCTGCAAGCATGCAAGGACAGGCTGGCTTTCAAATCCACTCCTTTTCACCATGGCCTGATACTGCTGATGGGCTCAGCTGCCCATCGTGTCTCACCCTGGGCCAGGATCTTAGCTCCCACCAAGTGCTGGGCTTGGGACATCCCAAAGGCTCTCTGAGCTTCCTTAAGCTTGCCCTGGGCTGTAGGATAGCTTGCTTGGCCAGGAAATACTACAGGTTCCTACACTTGAGAGCTGAGTATTCAGACAGGACCTTGCTCTCATGAGCAGCAGCAGCTGCGTGCTCCTCAGCAGCTTCCAACCATGGGGGAGCAGGGAGCCTTCTCCATCAAGCAGGACAAACGACTGAGTGCACCTCTTGGAATCCAATTCCTCCCAAGTCAGAAACATCCTAGCACTCTTTCCTTCCACTTCAAACTTCCTTTGTTGCTGGCACAAATAAACACGTGATTCTCTGCCTCAGAAAGGGTGCAATAGACTGACACTGCTCTCCCCAAAAATCACGTTCCAAAGCAAATGTCTTATCACTCCCATCATAGTTCAGGCAGAAGCAAAGGACAAAATGTCTTTGGATGACACAGGCCATCCTTCATTCATCTTGTCCACTTAGTTCTGGCCTTTTTTCCAAAGCATCTGAGGCTGCCAGCAGCACCAATCTCCTCTGCTACACCAAGCTAGGCTGCTGCTGCCAGCATGGTCCTTGCTGCACCACATCCCACTGATATCTGTAGTGTCATCAGTACAAAGCACAGGACAGTTCCTGCTTGAAGCCAGTTCCAAATGAGAAGTGTTGGGCACGTAAGAGAACTTGGATCCAGAATGGAGCAGTGCGGTGCCAAGTACTGAAATAAGAATTCTAGAAAGGCAACTTACCCAAAGTGGCAAATTTAATGCCTGTAAACATGCTTCAATCAGAATTTTGGATGAGCTCTGAAGGTATTGATTTTTTCTGGGGTAGACCTCCTCAAATTTCCATATCTCTCTATCCGACTGTATTTTTTATCATTAGCTAGTAATATATGAAAGGTCTTGGAGATGGACATCATGGAAGTGAGCCTTTAAAAGTGACCTTTAAAGTCAGTGAAGTCTCAAATCTTAAAATGAAGTCTCAAATCTCCTGGAAGAAAATTGTTAACACTCAGAATTCTGAATAATATTATATAATTAACTTTTCAGCAGAGAACAGCCTGTTGGTACTAACCATGTCCTTTCTGATACATCAGAGACTGAAAAGAATGGCCTTTCCTGTGCCAACTGTCTTTTAGAATAAACAAAAGGCCCTTCCCCTTCATCTCCACATGCTTAATAATATTAATAGAACATGAAAATATTAATGCTAGTAGACAAGGTCTTTCATAAGGTACATAAATGAATTCATTCACTCTAGCTCATTAGCTTAATCGTCAACCTTTTTACAATGTAACTGATTAACATTTTCATTGTTCTTCTTTGATTCTCCTTAGACTTTTGCTTCTTTGGGGATCAAAAGATCTCTGAATGCATAAGCTCAATAAATATCCTTGCACAACTGTACAACAATAGGAACTGTTAAAAGAGATAACTAAGGACTTTCACAGATCATGCTTCAAAGATACTGCAGGAAACAACAATTTAAGAATCATTTTTATTTTTAACATGATTATACACATTCATGAGTCCAACAAGATCTGCACTGTGACATTAAAGATACAGTACAATAACATTCAACATGAGGTACTAAATATATTTATATATATCTGTTCCTTTATAAATAATGCTGTAAGCCTGCTAAGGTCAAACACTGCTTCAGCACAAATGGGTGCTGGGACCTGAAGTGAGCCAAGTTTATCACAACAACAACCAAAAAAAAAAAAAAAAAAAAAAAAAAAAAAAAAAAAAAAAAAAAAAAAAACAAAAAAAAACAAAAAAAAAAAACCAAAAAAAAACAAACCCAAAATAGTTCAGTGCAATAAGTGGGTAGAAATTAAAGGGTTTACTTAAATACTATTTTAGATATGCAGAAAGTATATTACATTATACTCTCTTATCACAGATTCCTCTCACCGGCAAATCAAAGATACAAGTAGCAAAGACAATCAGGAACAGTTCAGACAGAATCTTCCAGGTGATTTCTATCGACATTATGTTTACATTCCAGGCTGATATGGCTGATGCTTGCAAGCTGTAAATCAATATATTCAAGCTTGGGTGCTTCTGCTAAACCAACCAAATCACATTGAGACACCTACTGAAGTGCCCTGATGTCCCAAGGTGAGTGGCACTGGCCACCTTCTTACATCCCAGTACTTGTTAGCATCACAAAGTGCTCAGAAGCAAGTTATCCTGTGAGCATTCAAAGGTGTTTTGGGTGCCTTTGTTTGATCACCCATACTTGAAACCTTTCCTTGCACCAGCTCCCAAAACCCGGAATGGATTCAGAGGAATTAAGCTAGAGGTTGCTTTCATCCTACCTCGTCAAAAAGACTTAATAAAAAATGAAATTAGAATAATTAAATAACAGCTTATTTTCTACATATTACAGCTACAGAGTATTCTGATCTCTGAACTTCTCTTCCAGCCAGTGAACGTAGCAGATATGTCACCTTTATTTGCAGATAAGTCAAAATGAATAATAAATTCAAAGTGAGAACCCGAGACTAGGTAAACCAATGCAGTACTCTCTGACTTGTCCCACCAGCTGTAGCACGTTTTTTACCAAGCAAATTGGAATGCAGCTTGCTACCACAACCTGTCAATCTGCTTATCACTCTGAGTAATTACATCTGCATCAGCCACTTGCTGTAGAAAAATTTAATCAGATGATTAGCATCTTTCTCTGCTTTGAAATGTATGTAAATAAATGGAACTGCTGCTCAGATGTTGCCTAAAAGTAGATGACCGTTACCTCATCACAATCTCAGATTCCTTTCTACATCTCACAGCAACCCTTTCTCCACTCCACACCATTTACATTCTTGTCTATTTTCAGTTGTAGATATAAGTAACTGGAGGCTTTTATAAATCTCTCCTTGGGAGTTTTCCACAGAGCATTCTGTTTAGATTTCACAAACAGTCTGGATTATGTACATCTGTTACAAAAAACCAAAACATTTTTCTATGTATTTTGAGGGTATTTACATTTCAGAAAGAGAGCTGCTTACACACACATGTATGTATGTATACAAAATATTAAATGCTAAGATGGATGAAAGGCATAAATTCTGTGGAGTACTTTTTTACCTGGCTCTCTTTTTTATTACCTAGAGATCTGGGCTTTGACTACACTCCACTTTTCCTTACTGCAGATGGTATTTTGGACACTACAAAGATGCATTTTGGCACTTTCTGATGGCCGAGGGCCAGGATTTCAACCATCAAGCAACACTTAGAGTAACAGTATTAAACTGGTAAAATAATATGAGAAAAACATTTTTATTACAGAACTGACAAGTGAATTTAGGGTTATGCTATATTAATGTGTTGATATACCATAACATTAATCTTCAGCAGGTCTAAAGAATCATTTGGTCCTCTCATTTTGTAAAAAGGTACACAACAAACAGAACCCATTTCAGAGGTGAAACAAGATGCTTTACAATGGGCAGTGTAGCCTTTGAGGAATAACTGTCCCATTGCAGTGATGAAGGATTTTCTGATGTTTCAATAATACCTATAGTTCTTATTTATACTGGTTCCCTGCCCTCATACAAGGAGAATCCCTCATACTTTTGTAAAAATGATACAGACATGTAACTTCCTGTTACATCATCAAAAATGATACAGACATGTAACTTCCTTTGGGGGGGGAAATCTCAGGCAAGGAAAAGGTTCTAGACCACATAATCCTCTGATTGATGTGTAGCCATAAGCAATTGCAAGAGCTCCAACAATAATCCAATAGCAGAGACTTCTTCCTCCTCACTGCAATTGGATGGTATACACTAAGTGTAATATGACCACAGCTGGGAATCTTCTGTCTTTGTCTAAATTTCAACTCGTAATAAAAAGAAAAAAAATCTCCTATTACAGAAAAAAATCCAAATCAAGATTGATACATTCTTTTGTTTCTCTAAAATCTGCCTCTACCATGTTTAGGAAGAAGAAAAAACCCAAACAAAAAACCCCAAAAAATTACCCTGCATCAGATGATTGATATAAATTCCCATTTATTTAGCAAGGGTTCAAAGAAATGCTGTTTAAAGAGTAGATCAACTCCAATGTAGCAAAACCTGGGTCATGGGAGTAGAGTTTCAAGAGCTGCATACACAGTTTGAACACATGCAAGTACTTCCTTACCTTCAAGGTGGGATTCCTAGAAAATGAACTCCAAGGGCAACTTGCCCAGCCCACATCCCTTCCTCACTGTGAACATGAACATGCACTGGGGATAAGGCCAGTATGCTGTGGAGCTTCCTGAAAGAAGCTTCCTTCTTCCCATCTTCCCCTGGAGCCATCCCAAACAGTTGGCTACAGGAGAATCTCACAGGATGAAGGTTTAAACTTGTGCTTTTTCTGCTTATAACTGAAGGACTTCTTCCAGCCCCCATGTCAAAAGCAGCTTGGTTTACTGGAATCTCTAAAGTCTGCAGAGCAGACAGCAGAGAGAGCTACAAAACAAGACTCTTCATTTTCTATCCCTACCTCCCCAATACAAGCAGAAGGCAGAAAATGGAGAAAGAAAAAATAGATGAATGAAGACAGCGTTTAGTGAGATACAAGAGGGGGATGTCCTCTGGTGGTTCACCAGTGCATCAAAGAAAGGGTCAGCATCACGAGCAAACAGGCACCCCTCTGACAAAGCCTAAAGAGCTTCCAATTTAAATATTACACTTAATCACCAATGATGCTACAAGTATTGCAAACCAGGAACTTGCCCACAGCACTTAGTCACATATTCCCTGTACTGATCACATATCTGCAGATAAAAGCTAAGAATCAGTAGACCTGAACCAGACAGGCTCTTCATAGCAAAATGCTTTGTATCCACACACTCCCATTCAAGCATAAAATATGAGTTCGGGAATTTGTCCTCCCTGTACCCCTGTGCCATTTGTACTGTCCGAGGAGCACTGAAACTGAACAGTCACCTTGCCACACTGAACTTCTGTCATTCCTTCTTGTCCAAAATAGCTGAGTTCATTACCATCCAGAATCACGCTTGCTGTGTAAAAGGTGTCAGGCTCAATCTGCACTGGATACTCAAACCACACAGGAAAAGTGTTACTAGAACCATCTGAGAAGTATTTACTCAAGTTCTGGCCCAGGATAACTCCTTGTCGCTTCAGTTCAATCTTAGCACTGTACTCTGCTGACCCACAGCTGGAGCCGTAGAGCCCAAAGCCAGCAATAAACACTCTCTTATCGACAGCGAACTGGATGCTGTCACAGCGGCCCCGGTAGCGCCACTGGTTGCTGCGGTAGGCGCAGGACTGGAAGCGGTGGCAGCGCTGCGGGACGAGGCCTTTGCGGGGCTTGCTGACAAACTGCAGCTCTGGTTTCTTGGCAGCCGTGTACCAGAGGAAGATGTCGTTGGTTTCGTTCAGAGTCAGGATCCCGGACTGAGCGGCGCCGTTGGCGAAGTCGTCGAGGGCCATGGTAGGAATGCGGATCAGGTAGAGAGCCTTGCCCAGCACCTTGCGCTTGTTCTCGATGGTGGCCGTCAGCTCTTGTCGCTGGCACTCCACTTCAGCCCAGTTCAGAGCTGCCTCAAAAACAACAATTTCTTTGGCATTCAGAGTCTCCCTTCGGAGAATGCTTTCAAGTGTCTGAAAATCAATGTCACAGAAGCCCTCAGACTTCAAAGCGAGCTCAGCTTGGGCATCAATCACTTCCCAGCAGCGCTGGGTCAGGTCAGGTTCCTCGAATAAGCAGCTCTGGGAAAGCAGCACACAGGCATTCTTTGCACTCAGACTTGTCTCGAGAAAGTTAACGCAGGCACGGGCCAGGTGAGGGACAATGTACTTCTTGGCAGCATAAAGAGTGGCCAGGACAGTGTCTGCGGCCAAATCGATCTCATCACAATAGATGTACCTGAAATGAAGCACACAGGTGTAATGCTGCTGCTTAATGCAACACCAGTTTGTCAACAAGGAACACATACAAAATCATAAAGAATATTTAAATGACTCCACAGTAAAATCAAGCAGTGCTTTGGGGAGTATTGATTAGGCCCAGAAAGAAAGTATAATAAAAATTCATTTAAATCTAAATTAAACTTTCCATTTGGAGTGCATGCTATGAAACAATTGTTTAAAAAACTGTGGCCCCTGCAGCTCTGTGCTCCTTCCATACAAGTCTTGGCTCCCAGGCAGGAGCTCCTGCAGGGCTGCCTCACTTGGTTACCACAGGAGTCTGGAACATGTGCTGTCAAGAGTCCTTGGGTTGCCTGTCCCCTGATGGTGAACCGTGGTTTACTAAGCTGTATGAACAAACACTGGAACAAGTTTGTGGAGAGTAACTAGGTAATCTAAGAGAAATGCTATTTAAGTATATCAGGTGCTATCAATTTCTGTAACTACTGGATTGGGTTCTTTTCAGAAGTGACTTTTTTGGTTTTTTTCTTCAAAGGGTTATGAAGCATATCGGAAATGGAAGATTTTCAGGTTTTTAATGCTCACAACATCCTAACTCAACAAGCACAGCATTTTCCCTCTGTCTCACTGCATAAGGATGAAAAAACCTTTATTGCTATGGCAGTGTGGTGGAAGAGATGAAGGTGAAATTCTATTTATGTGACTAAACTGCTGGGATTCATTGCTCAGAGAAATGAAGCATTGTACAGTTTGTTCTTTTCAATATCTCATGCTTCAGGGCTCCATTTGCAGCTGGTGAATGCAACGTGCTAAAATCATGCCAAATGCAATTTCACTCTTCACAGGGATAAGCAAGACTTGATGGTTACAGCTGATAAAATTGTCTTCCTCCAGAAAAGCTTAAGTTGTATGCAGCCCTGTACGAATTAAAATTTTCTAGTTAGCAGGTTTCCTTACACAATGAGTTTTCTGCAGAACAGATGTGCCTATAAAGAGGAATTAGTACCTACACTGATCTGATGATAGTTGTAAATAACTATTTGTATTTTTGCAGCTGTAAGATAGTATCCTCCATGCTGCACTTGGAAAACATGCAGAGGAGATACTGCTCCAGCTATGTAAAATCTAAGAGGTTACAGAGAAAAGAGAAAACTTACATAGAGCAAAGCTTATTTTTAGTGTTTACTTCTTGGTTTCAGCCTATTTGTGAAACCAAAGAACCCATCTGTATATCAATGGTTACAGGCTCAGCTCCTTTACTGCCCAAAAAAAATTCCACTTTCAATTAATTTGTTTTTATGATTCTCCTCATTGCTCTCCTACTCTTTCCTCCCTTCTATTACTTCTCTTTGCCCGATAGTACAAGAGAGAATGATGAGATCTGTTTTAAATTGAAACAGTTCAAGAGTTGCTATTTTAATATTCCTGAAAATAAAGAACTAATATCATTGATGTACAGCAGACACAGCACAGATCAATTGTCATCAATGCTCCACACCTCTTACTCTGCCAATGCACCTCGGCTCTGGTTTGCAATTACTGATATTTTGGTTTCACCCTGTTCTCAAACACAGGATTCTGCCAGACCACAGGGTTTGATGGTTTAGTAACACATTTAGCCTGGGATGAGATGAGATCACAGTTCTAACTTGAACAGTCAAGACTGAGATAAGATATAATACATTAATGCACCAATTCAGTTTGGCAGCTAGACTGTGCATTTAACCCTGTTTTTAAAACTGTAGAGGACAGTCAAAGCAGTTTTACTGGGAGAATAACTAATGTCTACCTGTCATAGTATTTCCTATGTTACATCTGGCAATAGCTTGTTTGTTGTCAGAATGCCCGCTGTATAATAAAACACAAAAAATATTTATGCCATCAGAATTCATTTGCCTGGGGGGAAACAAACCAAACTTCTCGAGCAAGACGTCAAAACCAAAAAACCAAGGCTAAATATATTTTCTGACAAAGTTTATGATGCAGAAAGAAGCCTGTGAAGGAGAGGCTGCTTTGGCATAGGTAAAGTCTTTCTGTAGCAACATAGCCTTGCCATCCATGGCTCACAGCAGTTGCAGGAAACACTCTGGGATGGTTTCCCAGAGTGAGAGCAGTGAAGAGGACAGTGGCTCCCCCTAAGCTCCACATGCAGTGGATCCTGTGATTAGGGGATGCTGCACTGCTGGGCAACATCCCTGTGCCTTCCCTGCACCATCCTGGTGCTGCAGACCCTGGGGCACTCTGCAGCCTGACACACTGCATCAGGGAAGACACCACTGGCAGGGCTATCTCAACAGCCACACAGACCACAAACTTTTTCTGGTCTTTACGTTTTTTTCAATAAAAGCTGAGAAGGTGAAGAATCCCATGGTTCTGGCCATGCTCTCTTAGATAGTTTCCTAAATTGCCATGGGCTAAATAATATGCCAAGACCTAGATGTCAGTATTAATACTCTTTTCTGCACACATTTCTTAATGATATTCAGAAAGCATTCAGTTTTTATACAGCACATCATGTTTAGCCACAGTGAAATAGATTCGCTGTTCAAAAAGAAAGAGGGGCTGGAAGAACCCAAGTATCTTGTATTTGTGATTTGTAAAATTCAGCATGAAAGTGAAGTGTAAGTGAGCTCTGCCACAAAATCAAAAAGGCTCAAAGCAAAGATCCATAACACATCTCCCTACCTAATGTCACATCTTAACTTTGTATTCCAGGTCTACAGAACAGATGTGCAGCTCTTCTGGCAACTACCAATATTTGCACAGAGCACTCCTGATGTTGATTAACCTATAAGAACTCTATAGGCAACTTTGAATGTTCATCTATTATGCCAGTGAAATGTTAAAAATGAAAAAGAAACTCTTCTGTAATCACAAGTTAATCAAAACAATCTATGAAATACAATAAATTACTAGCTAGTGATTATATCATTACTTGCAAGAAAACCTGCAGCATATTAAAGGGATATACTACTGATGTATTTTTTTCTACAGGAAAGCAACAGCATTTATTTAAGCTGAAGAAAAAAAAAAACAACAACTCAAAGCCATATCATTTCATATGATAGGGCATTTCTCCTCAATAATCAGAGTTTACAGATACATTTAAGGACAATTCAGCAGGGAAGCTGCTTCATTATGCCCATTTAGGAAAAGAGAGCATTTCTTATGCAGTTTGCAAGAAGAAAAATAATGATCACATAAACTGACTTGTTTTCCTTGTCAGATAAAATTCCCTGTTCATGTAAACAGCCTTTTTATCACTTTTCAAACACATCATAAAGAGAAATTTATTTTTCAGAGGCTATGCTGAATAACTTAGGGTCATTTTTCTAAGACAAGACCTGTGTACTGCAGGTTTATAAAAGAGCTGTAATGATGTCAATCTTCGAACCTAGCAATTTAGTGGGTCTGAGGGGGCTTTGTGCATACATTTTTAACTTTTCTCTATGCTTGCAAAGTAGAGGAGTTGATTTGGGGTTTTTTGTTACAGCTGACAAATCTTTTTAGTAACTCCATTCCTTTGTGTAACATTTAGTGACAAATCAGATCGATAGGCATTACAGTACACAATGTGCCCAAAGATCTCCTGTCAAAGTCATTATTTACAACTGCCTACATTAGTCTAATATGTGCGTGCCTGGAAGTACAGGGGGAGAGCAAAAATAGGTGAAAGTTTAAAACACAAAAAGAGGAGTATTTCAAGCAACTGCTTTCTTTCAGTTTATATGCAAGTTCATCTATGACATTGGCAGTGTATGTATACATCAGACAGGAACACGTATCCAGCAGATGAATGATGCTTACTTCAGCATTGCAAGAAAAGCAGCAGGCTCAACATCTGGTATACGGATTTCATCTTTGTCCTCAGCAAGCTCTCCATAAAACATTGCATGGAATACAGAGCTCCCAACAGCCAGGACATACTGTTGAGAAAGGGAAATCTTATTTCATGCTTTGAACTGAAAACACTGCCAACACAAACAATGTGGGAGAGCCACTCTGAGCATACTGGGCTGCACTGACAGGCTCTACAGACACACTTCAGTAAGAAATTAAGTCCAAGTTAAGAACAACTTACACGTTTTGCTTGTATTTTACTCTCCTGGGCATAGATGCATTAGCTACTGGAAAACACTCAGCTCCCCACAGAAGTTAATTATTTCTAGGAAATCTCAAGAGCAGTATTAATCAACAGCACAAAGCAGTATTCCTAACTTTACTGCCTTAGCCCAACAAATGTGCTGTTTAACTAAAAACACAAAGAAAAGCTAGGGAGAGATTATCCCACTGCATGTAGCCTTTCCAAACACAGACTGCTGCTTGTCCCAGAAGAGCTGAGCCTCCCACGCTCTGTCCTGCTGTAACTGTGGGAGCTCCCTCTGGCTCTCCCCACCCGAGCAATCATGCAGCTGTTGCTTACTTTGTGTCCTGGCAGCCGCTGGGTCCCACCTGGTGGCCCGACCACAAAATGAACATCTGCCATCAAGTCATTGTTGAACATCACTGCATTTCTACAAACAGAGGTAGTATGTTAATTTGTGGCACCCAGACACTCTCTCCGCATGCCCCAGACCCAAGAAATTTGATTTTTTTAACAACTTCAAGTTGCTTGTTAGCAAAAAGAAGCAGGTCACACTTTGCTTCCAGCTACTTTACACATCATTGCACAAATATACCAGAAAAAATACTAAGGAGGTAAAAGTGTTTCTGCTCTGTGCAGGTGCAATAAAATAAACCCCCAAACTGCTGAGAACTTTCCAAGAAGTGGAAATCAAAGTCCAGAGCACTTATCATTGAAAATTCCCACTGAGGTCTAAAAGGAAATCTTTATGGCTATGCTGCAGCTTTTAGCAACGTTTTTATTAACTCAAACAGATGCACTGACTGGAAAAGAGATATTAAAATATTTTTCCATTACCAAAATTCTTTCCCACACACACATACAGGGACAAAAAAGCCCAAACAAATAAAATATAACGATGTTTTCTTCAGCAAACAAATGCATTCTGGACATTTTCCTACTTTTCACCCCTTCATTCAAACACCAAAAAAACTGCCCTGAACTTACCTCTCTCTGATGGTTGGATAAAGTCCTTGCCAATTAGGTGCAGGAATAGTGTTGTTGTTATTGAGATTTTGCTGATGGTATTGCTGGACAGCAGTTGTATTAGTATTAGCTGGTTTCTTTCGGGGAAAAATATCAGCAGCCATCTTCTTCTTCTTTTTGGTCTTCAAGGTAATGATTTCATAGCAAACTGGAGGCAATTTGCTGTTGCTACTGCTACTGCTATTTCCTTTCTTAGAGCTCTTCTTAGACCTGCTCTTGACCGTCTCTGGAAGCATCAAGAAGAAGGTGAGACATTTCATGTTCTTTCCTTTCTCATCTACCATCAGTATATCCGTGTGAAAAGACCGACAGCCTAACTAGCTAGGAACATTTAGGAATGCATGTGGAAGCTCTAACACCGAAAGCAGCAGAGCTGAGAGTCTGCTTCTTTTCCAGCAAGACAAGGTGACCTTTCCAGCACCCAGAGTAAGAACCCGAGTTTAAGTTTGATCCAGTACTTGAACCGTTAAGTACATCCCCATCATTCCCGCCAGCTCGCTCTCTTTCCAGCTTTGCCGATGGCGAACGGGCTGGCAGCGCTGCGGGCCGGGCGGAGGGCAGGAGCAGCGCAGGGTGGCAGTGCCAGGCTGCCGGCGAGCCCAAGTTGTGCGGAGGCGCTGGGAGCGGAGCAGGAGCGGCCGTGTGCCGGAGCCAATGGCTGCGGGCACGGAGCGCGACTGGGCTCGCACGCAGCGACACCGACCGCAGCCTGCGCCGCTCCCCCTGCAGCCACGGCAGCGCTCCCGCAGCTCCCACGCAGCCGGCCGGAGTCAGTGGCACATCTCTGTGCGGCTGTGAGCTCTCCTCGGCGCCGCTTCGGTTTTCACAGGCGAAGCAGAAAAAAGTTGAACTCGGGTAGAAAGATCTATTTATTACCGTGGGAGCTATTTGCACGGGCATTCGATATTAGCACAGCTTCCTCTGCCTCTAGCATTCCCACAAATGCCTCCTGTGAGATCTGTTCGGCGGGTGTGCGACAGATATCAGAAACGAATTAAAGCAATCGAGCAGCAGCACAGACAGCGATGCAGCCAAGCAATCCCTTTCAGCGCAGCTTCTACTCCAGTGTAACATGAACAGGGATGAGGTCACAGCTTCAGCTTTAACTCCTTCTGTTTCCAGATAACATAACAGCCTTTGACAGGGGTCCCAAATCACTAAGCAGTGCTAATTAAGCCAGCTTACACCAGACATGGCTGCACCGTATCAGAAGAAAACTTCTAGATGTGTAATCATATTAAAGCAAACCGGAGTGAATATATTTAATCAGTATTTCAAAGCATTAAATGAAAGGGTCTGAATAATTTAGAGAGTCTCAGGCAAAAATCACTCCTTGAGATGCAAACAGTCTGATTTTATTCACAAATACTTTCTGAAATAAACAGGATATAAGCTATGCCAACCAAACCATTTGAATAAGTCTATTTTTTAGTCATTAGTTTACTCAGAACTTAAATTTAGATCAGATTTCTTTAATAGCAGTCAGATGTATAGCAAACCCACCAAGTAAGCATAGCCAGTTAGAAACAAACGCAGGGAAGTAAAAAATACGTGGTATGAAGTACCAACATATCATACCCTAAAATACTCAACACCTTAAAATACTGGAGAGCAGAAAGTTAAAATATTTTTTCATAACTACTTTCAGTTTTAAAGAAAAAACCCTCTGCTTTCAAAGCTAATTTAGCTACATTTTGCCTTAATTAGTTTTGCTGGACAAGAGTACAGCAGGGAAATTAATGTGAGAAAAGGTTGGTGAAGAAATCTTGTTGAAGCCCCTGACAAATCTGCCACTGACTCAAACAGAAGTATTACTCAGGCTGTTTATTCAATCTCCATCCCAACTGCTTGAATCACAGCTGTGGCTGTGTAACACACACTCAGAATGTCTTTAACCTGAGGATATGTTGGTATTTCAAAGATTACCAGGTCTCCTTGGGAGATGCTCCACTCCAAGCACTCACTGCACGCCCCAGCCATCTGGAGGCTTTGCTGCAGTGGTTGGGGATGATGCCATTCCCAGACACATCTGTCCTCTCTGTCTGAAGGCACTGCTTGTGGAAGGGGGAAACACAGGGAGATGTGTCCATGGCTCAGCTGCTACATTTCACAATCCCACATCTTAGTGCAAAATGTCCTTGACTGCTGCTTTAAAGGAAGCTGGTGGGTTATGCCTGAAAGGCAGAGACATGTTCCTAAATACATTAAGGGGAGGTTATGTAACTTACAAAGAAATATTTCTAGCAACCTTTTCTTTTTCCTCCACACATTTTCTTTTTTATCTGCAATACACTGATTAGAAAGGGAAACTAAAAACCTAAACCATATTGAACTATAGAGAGGGAAAAGAAGGGGTAAAGGAGAAGAAACACATCCCACAGATGGGATCTTCTAAGTGCTCACAGCTGAGTTTATAAAAGGAACACAGCAGGTATTCCCAGCACAGAATTTGAGTTTGTGTAAGTTTTTTTTTCCTCTCCTTATGTAAATTTCCAGCCCTTCCAATTACAACAATAACTCTTTTGCCACTGCACAGGACAAACATTTCAAAAGGAAGAAATCTTTAAAAAACGTCTTAAAGATACAGAAAACCATAGACTCCAGAAAATGTGGTTCTCAACATTGCAGTTGGCAGAAGGCAAAAGACAGCAGAGTTTGGGAGATTTGATTGCCATTCCACAAATCCATTTTATAGTCCCCCAAAGTATATATAAATCAAGGTCTTGGCAGATTTCTTCAAACCAATGGCCAGGACAAATCCAATGATTTTACACACACACCACATAAGGTCAGTGGGAGGCTACAGGAGATAAAAAGAATGAGGGACAGACTGACCAGTTAACTCCATGTGGGAAAGACAGATTGTAAGCATGAACCGACAGGAATCCACCAACCTTTGAGTTCTGGAGAATAACACACATACACAGCACATTGTGCTTTCTGGGAAAGGAAAGGAGAGAGAAGCTGCAGCTGAAGCATGTTCTGCCTGAACTCAGAAGTCAGACACACCCCATTAGACCAGAAGTATCTGCACTACAGGATAAAAAAAAAAATCAAGTCCAGTAAATAAAAAGCCATTATCTGCCTGCTCTTAAGCCACCTACCAAACTACTCCAACTAGAAAATAGCACAGATTCCAGAATAGAATCTAAATAGATTTAGATTTTCATAGAATTTCTGTGAAAAACTGCAAACCTCTTACAGGTTCATACACCTTCCACTGCACTTCATCACCTCAGGAACTAAGTCTCATAAACTACTCATTAGATGGATGTGAAACAGGAAAAACAACCCCCAAAGAATTACTGCTGTTCTCTGTACATATGGTGTTTGTGGTAATTGGGCGTGGGGCTGCAGCCCAGCCTCATCCCCAATGGGCACAGCTGTAAGAAGCAGGTGAGCAGCACTGACACAATGAGCCACGGAGTGCCCAGGGCACTGAGCAACCACCAAAGGGCACAGAGGGCACACAGGGGCACTGCATAGCATCAGGGGTATAAAAGGTTGGGCTGAAGAACAAGAAGGGCAGATGCTTGCAGCTTTCTGCTGTGGTATGATGGTACTCTGTCTGGGCAGGTGCCTGAAGCCTTCTGATGCTGTATGGTGCTACTCTGTGTTGTGGCCGTCTGGACTGCTGCATGTGCTGCGGCGCATGCTGCGACAATTCTCACTCTCTATTCCTTCTGTTTTGGCAGCAGCTTTCATTTCCTTTCATACAACGGTGTTTTATTATTTTACTATACAAATATTGTTAATGAATTTAGAAATTAATACCCTGGCAGTCAGTAAAAACAACCCACGAACTACTGCATGCTGAAAACCAGTCAAAATCCCCAGTTTAGATCAGTCTGTCTCCAACAAGAGGATCAAGGAAGGTCACCTTCTTTGACTCATAGATCTGTTTCTGAAATCTTATTAACAACCTGCTCCTAATCTTCTTCAGCAAGTCTCATTTTTCTTCATTAATTATATATTAACAGAACTAAACTTGATATATACAACTGAGAAAAAGGGAAATACAGTTCTTCAAAGGCATGTTACTTTTTATTTTACAATATTTATAAAATTTATATTTAGTCATACCAGAAATAATTCAAGTTAAAGAATATAGGAAATTCCATACTTAAATCTTTAAGCTGGCCTAATGGGTATTCAAAATGCCAGAAGAATTAAGCAAAAGACTATATTCCCAATCTGAAATAATACACATCAAGTTACGTGTCCCTTCCAAAACATTAGGAGCAGGTTATGAGCCCTTGGATATCAGTTCCTGACTAAACATTGTGAAGTGAAGCAGCAATTTTGCTGTTCAAACCCAAGTGTATGCAACACACCTGCCATCCCAGCTTATTTATCCCTTAAGAACATAATATAACTTGTGTGGCACAGGAGGTACAGTATAGCCCAGCTCTTGGTACAACTTTTAATAGCATGTTACTACTATAATTATGCCTTTCTAAAGATAACTCCCAATTAGGGAAATCAGTTTAATTTCCAGACCTGATGGGAGTATTCTTCCTTATATTTCATCAATTACTCCTGTTGAAATAGCAAGGGTACCAAAGAGTTTCTATTTTTTTTTCTCCTTCTAATAAGCTGACTTTTTGTACATCTCTCATTTACAGGCCTTTTTCTCCATTTTTCTCTGTTTAGTACTTCATGTAGTAAGATTAGCTACACAGTTCTATAAAAAACAATCTTTCATTAAAATTCCTAATTGTTTATTACAACCACATCATGAATAAAGGAATGAATCCTTAGTAAGCAATGAGGAAACGCATACATTTATTTTTCTGTAAAATTGCCAAGTGTCTTCTTTGGCAGTCACTATGCATATGCAGTATTAACAGTTTAAATTCTGAATTTCCCCCACAAGGAAACAAATTTCAGATGACACATCTTGATTAAACAAAATAAATACACAATGTTGCCCTTTAACAAATCTACCTGTCTGTCCACTGCTAGCTTTAATTGAATTCAAGTTAACTTCAAGTGCTCATTTAAAAATAGAATATTCATGTTCAAAAACTAACTAAACCAAAATAAAACCTCAATAAATCAAACACACACAGCTGTGGTGCCTTCTTCTGTTTACCTCCCTATGAATTATTTAGTCACTTGGAAGAGTCCTTCCCAATCACCATTCCAGCCCTTCTGTTTGTAAAAACAGATTTGGAAAGGGCACTGATAGCTCTACCCTTCATTTCCTCAAGTAAAAAAATGCATTGCAGTGGACAAAATCTTCCAATCTTCTCTCTCCTAAGTTTCTTATTGGCAGCACTGGAAGAAATTAAGATGGCATCTGCTTCTGTTGGCTGCACAGAAAAGCTGGCAATGATGTCTTAGTCAAGTCTTGTATAGAAAAAAAAAATAAATTAAAAAAGCAACCAAAAGCAGGAAGAAAGATGGGCATAATTGTAAAGGCTCTCAAAGAAGCCAAAATAGATGCTAAAAAAATAGCAATTACATCCCAGAATAGCAAAGAGGTGTGAAAGAGTAGAATAGTATCAGAGTAGAATTGTATCTTGAACAAAGACTAGAAGCTTCAAAAATAAAGTCAAAAACAGTTAAATACCATTTTTCTATAGAACCCATGCTACGCTAGCAACATGCTTGTTACCAAATATTCTTTAGTGTTTATGAGGATTTAAATAGTTTGCAAAACATTATCCACTAACATAGCTTTTACTTTTTGTTCTTGAATGCCCTAAATGCTTCAAAGAAAACAAAAGCAGAAAGTCCTGAGCAGCCTAGTCAAAAAGTAAACACCAACTTACATAAAATAGAAACCTAAAGAATTAATATTCACAATTACTTTTTTACTCCTGTAGTATTTCCTAGCATACAGCTGATACGTGGTATTTGTTTTAGTCTCTCTACCAAAGCAGCCTTTCTATTAAATCTTTTTAATATGTCATTAAGCAATATCCATTTTGAGACAAAGCAATCACAATAAAACATATAACATTAATATTTACTCCTATGTTTACCTGCAAATAAATGTGCACTTTCTTTGGATGGATTCCAAGTCACTTTGCATGAGCCTGTTCCTACCTCAACTGCAACATCATCTCTTCTCTTTTTTTCCTGTTACCTTTCTTGCTTAGCTGCTTGAAGACTGCAATTTAACTTCAGTGAGAGGTTGAACACATAATATTTATGTCCCAAACACTTTGCTATGCTGGGTCTTTTTCTTTAAAGTTAAAGGTTTTGTTCCCTAATGGACCAAAATAACGCATCAGAGTGAGGAAAATAAAGTTCAAAATTTTCTTGTATTGTCATTCTGATTTGAAGACCATGCCTGCTGCAGAAATTACAGTCCATATAAACCACAACTGTGGCAAGGAAGGCCTACATTTAGACAACCTGCAATGAACAATATACTTGATCCCATTACAGTGAATCACCCCACAGACATTCTCTTCTGGGCATATGGTACAAAATAATGTCAAATGCTTCATTACAATATAAAATATATTATTTGACAAACATGCTAAGAGATATTCTCCAATATCATAGTTTGGGAGCTGCAGGAAGAAAATATCTCAGAGCAAAATTTGCAATGTATTCTACGTGCAGTAACTTTTTTATTGATAGTTCAAAGTAAAACAAAGAATTATAAATGAACTCTGTGAAGAGAAAACCTGAAACCACAAAATGATAATTCAATTCAAGGTCACAGGAGATAAACTGTTTTGTTACTAATTTAAAAGAGACAAATTATGCATTTGCTCCCCATCATGGCTACTCAAGCTTGTCCATTTTATTTCACATAGAGCTTTGCTCTTGACAGTCTGTGGGGTCAAAAAATAACTTCTTTCTTAGTGGCTTTATTTATTTATTTATAAACATGATATTGCAAACCTGAAAGCACTCAACCCTTTTCCTTAGGCAAAGGTCAACTTTAATTCTACTGTGCCTCTTACCAAAACTGACTGACAAAGGAAAGCTCAGATAGCTCAGGAAATTGGTAATGAGATACACTGGTTTTCATCTCTGGGTCACTAATTCTGAATTGACTAAGGTCAACAGTAATCAAAAGTCATTAGCATTTAATGATCTTTCAGTGCGCTGTGAGGAAGAAGCGAGTGATCTTAGCACACTTCAGAAAAACCACCACTACAATCAGCACTCACATGCTGCCTGCTTCAAGGTAGAGGTTGGCTCAGATGACTACAGACAGAACTTCCAATCTTGCAGACAGATCTTACCTCGGTAGACAAACCTTTTACTAATTTTAACTTGGCTCACTAGCCATTATTTTCAATGGTTAAATTAATACAGGAATAGTTAAATTAATATGGGTTCTCTGAAGGGCAGGCTGTAAGCTGTCTGGTCCTGCTCCTGCTCCTTCACATCAGCAGCTCCCAAATGTCTTTGTTCCCCTGCACACAGCAAGTCTGAAGAATGCAAATGCAAACAGACCCTTCCTCAGAGAGGAAGGTTCTCACTTGTGAGAACCCATGGCATCAGAAGTAACTACTCCATCAGTAGTTCACAGAGGAACTGCATCACAGTTAATTATGTTGGTGTATAGCTCAAAGACTACATTTTTCATGTGCAGGTAACCTACATTCACCACATCACACCACTGTGTTGAAGCTCCCAGTGGGACAGAAGGGAGCAGAGGATATTGCTATGCTGCACAACCACACCTGCTCTGTGGCCTGCACCCTGCAGTCTCCTGGGGCTGTCATGGCAACACCTTCAACAAGAGCAAGGAAAACGGAGGGGACTTTTGGAGAGCTTAGGTAGATGTAATGTATGGGTCTATAACGGAAAACCACGTTGTGCCAATCCATAGTTTTACATCTAGGCAAGGTTAGGGAACATGCAGCTTAAAAACCCCACAGCAGATGAACAACCTGTGTGTTTATAGCAGCAGAGCATCACAGCTGGCAGCATTCAGTGTGTTAAAGAGGAAAAGTCTGGTACAGCATCTTGTTTCCACTGCATTTGAAATTAGAGAAGAGGAAAATCACAACAGCGAAAGAGGAATAGGTCAGTACCTTGGCAAACCAAGCCTTTGGTAAGAAATGCATTTTCAGCCACAGCGGCTCACGCTTCTCAAAAGTGAGAATTAAAACCAATGAGTAACAACTCTAGCAGTGATTTTACAATTGAATATTACCCCCAATTTTTAGATATGAGAAACTGATTGCTGCTAACCTGAGCCTAATCCAAATAGTTTAAGGGATGGAACAGACATGACATCCATTAAACTGCACTGTCCTGAATGACTCTCCCTTCACCACACATGAGAAACTGTGTATCTTGTTACTTGGCCTTAACTGATTCCAGACTCTTCCAACACACACGGCCTCTGTTTGAATCCACAGGGAGATAAAGATGTTCCCAATTTTTTCTCTTATCCTCTGCTTGAGAAAAATGAAATTTATTTTCCTTTGCTGCACATAGTTCAGTCACACTTGCCTTCCTTAGTAGTCAGTTAAGCTTCAGTATTTCCATCAGTTTCTCCTTTTTACAAGTGAATGGCAGCTACTGCACCATTATGAATTTTCAAGAAAAACACATACGTACTGCTCAAATTCTGGTTTCAGAATATATTTTTGTGCCTTAAGATGTATTTGTCTATCACTGTTAGGATATCTTAAATATTCTTCTTCACAGTCACTCTGTGACACATCAGAACTGCAGTAGAGAAAAACTATGGAAGGGGCAAGTAAATAGAACAGCATAAGTAGGGACTGTACAAGATAAACATAAATACCAATTAATTTTATGTATTATGAACTTCTATATAATATGATAACTTTTACTTTTCCTGGGTATACATAGGGTAGTATCACTTTGGTCTCACAGAAGTGTAAAGGCAAAAGGCAACGAGCTCTAAGGAATCCTCACACCTCTCACACATGCAAACATGCCATCTGCCTGAAGGACTGCTTTCTTTTCATACTCTCAGAAAACCCTTGCAACCAAGCAGAGACAGGACAGCTCTAATTCCAAAGAAAGTACTTTTTAAAGACAATTACTCCTTCAAATTGCTTTGGATGTGAAGAGGAGAAAGTGTAGCTAGGGTGGTTATGGAGTGTAACCTGGTACATAAGTATCCCATCAAAGAACCATGTTATCAGCAAGTCACTCAGCCTGGTATTGAAGTGGTACATGATACTCTAGTGAAATATTTATTCAGGATATCAGGTAATCTCAGGCTACAGGGCTGGACAAGGTGATGTCTCTAGATACCTTCCAAATCTGTTTGTTGGTTGTCTTCACCCCACACAGCCAGGACAGACACCAAATACTCACAGACTGCCAATCAGCTCAGCTCCCCAGGGTTTGAAAATGCAAACACTTTCTGGATGTTGGACTGGCCTAGTTGTCACAGCAGCTTGCTGAGATAGCAAACTCAGAAAGGGCAGCAGAAAACAGATGAGCCAGGACCCAAAAATAGGAAGTTTGCAAGTTTGAATGCAGTGATGTCATACTTAAGCCTCCCCTCTCAGTTTCCTGACACACACATATAAAGTGCTTTTGTAACCAAGGTAGGGGATTGGAATTCAACTTAATGGCAGAAAACACAACCTTTAACAACTTCCACCACAAAAAGCTTGTAACCTTATCCTTCCAAGATTCCCAAATCTTATACCCCTTTTTTGCCTCATCAGCCCTTTGAGACAGAAACTGTTGCTTTATCACTCATTTAAATGCCTCACAAAACAGAGCTTCCACACCAGCTCAGGGACCCGAACATTTGTAAAACAGAACAACAGCCAGCCAAGTCCAAAGAGTTATCACAGACAGCATCATGGCAGAATCATTTTGAATTACCAAAGAAAGCTAATGCTGGCCATAAACAATATTCTGCTGCCAAAGTTATTTGCACAAGTTTCTACAACAGGTGATCTAAATTTCTTCTGACAACGTAACACATGGCCTATCATCATCAGACCTCTGTTTTTAGTGAGCCTATCCCTACGATTGCTGTTTTCATTGTAACTGGTAAATTTAGAAAAAAAACCTGCTCACAAGCTCTAACAAGCAAGTGGCCAAAACATAAAAATTATTGTTGCTACTTGCATTTTTTTCCCCCCCAGCCTTAAAGGGCAAGCTAAATGAATCCCACGTTGCTTCTGGAAGGTGTTTTCTCTGGGGCAGAGCTGACTGGCAGGGAAACATAAGGGAAATTATTGTGTAGTTAGCTGTGTACTTACTTACTTAGTGTACTTACTGTGAGAGATTTAAAATGGGGGAAAAAAAAAAGTAAGTACTACAGCTGACATTCAACTTTGGCAATCCTGCAGAACTTAGTTCAAATGGTGGCCCCGTGAGATTTGATTTGCAAAGCTAAATTACCCGGTAAACCCCAGATACTGCACACTGCAACATCCTGCACATACATTCTGCAGGAAATGGTGAGACCAGTTCTCTTCCACTAAAATAAAAGCTATTTTGAGCCTAACTTTGGCATAAAAGTTTAAGAAATGCCAAATAAAGTATTGTACACCTATAACCCATCACCATCTCTCTACAAAAAACAATAAAACCAAAAACGGAGCACAGATTAAAATTTAACACACACATCACATGCTGAGAACAAAGTACTGTGAGGACTTACTACAAGGAAAGAAATCCACACCAGCATTTCTCAGATGAGACAGACTGAATTAGGCGTATTATTAACCACACTTTAGGAACACTTAGGTGTCTTAACTCCAACCCAAACTTTTCCTCGAACTTGCAACAACCCACTACTCTCTCCTATTTTAAGATGCAGCACTCAGAAAATTTCAGCACTCAGGAAACACTACAACGAATTGAATTTGTAAACCTCGAAGTTCACAGGTGGCTTTTTCCAAACAAAAACAGGATAATGGTGAATTGTAAAGGTGTGTGCCCTTAGATGAAACTAGCGAATCTTCAGAGACAGGTACAGCAAGAAGTTCGGCCAACAGCGTGGGGAAGGCAGGAGGTATTTATGCCAAACCGGCTGCAACTATTAATTGTTCCTCCGGGAAGGCTACCGAATTAATGCTTAAAGTACTTCTTTTACAAAAGAAGCTTTCCTTTAAGCAGGAGAAGAGCCGCCAAGCCCAACTTTGGGGCTGTTCCCCGGTGCCGGGGCTGCCCCGCGGCCCGGCCGCGAACCCCGCGCCGCTGCACGAAGGGCGGCGCGGGGACACCGCCGCCCGCCGGGGACACGCACCGCGACCGCGGCCGGCCCGGGCCGCGCCCGGGGCTCTTTGTGCGACGCGGCCGGGCGGCCCCGCTCCCCTCCCCGCCGGCGCTCAGGTGCGCCCGCCCCGCCCCGCCCCTCACGGCGGCGCCTCGCGGGGCGCATTCCCCGCCGGCCGCCGGGTCCGGGCGGGGCGCGGGGCCGGCCGCCGGGTCCGGGCGGGGCGCGGCCGCCCCGGGCCGGCGGCTCCGCACTGACCTGAGGCGCTGCCGGGGCGGCCGCGCGGCCCCTCCTCGCGCCGCCGCGCGCGCGCGGCCCCGCCCCGCAGCGGCGCGCGGGTGGCCACGCCCCGGACACGCCCCCAAAGGGATGGGATTCCTGCGGGATGGAGCTCCTTCGGGATGGAATTCGTTCGGGATGGAGCTCCTTCGGGATGGAATTCCTTCGGGATGGAGCTCCTTCGGGGTGGAGCTCCTTCGGGATGGAATTCCTTTGGGATGGAGCTCCTTCGGGATGGAGCTCCTTCCCCTTTCCTTCAGGATGGAATTCCTTTGGGATGGAGCTCCTTCGGGATGGAGCTCCTTCCCCTTTCCTTCGGGATGGAGCTCCTTCTGAATGGAGCTCCTTGGGGATGGACTTCCTTCGGGATGGAGCTCCTTAAGGCTGGAGCTCCTTTGGGATGGAGGTCCTTCAGGATGGAGCTCCTTCCCTTTTCTT